CCAGTCAGGTGACCCGTGACGTTCGGTCAGGTGATCCGTGACGTTCCGGTCTGGTGATCCGTGACGTTCGGTCAGGTGATCCGTGACGTTCCGGTCTGGTGATCCGTGACGTTCCGGTCAGGTGACCCGTGACGTTTGGTCAGGCGACCCGTAATTTTCAGTCAGCTGACCCCATTGTGTTCCAGTCAGGTGACCCATCAGGTTCGGTGAGGTGACCCGTGATGTTCCGGTCAGGTGACATGTTATGTTCAGTCAGGTGACCCGTGACGTTTGGTCAGGTGACCCGTGCTGTTCCGGTCAGGTGACATGTTATGTTCAGTCAGGTGACCTGTGATGTTTGGTAAGGTGACGCATGACGTTTGGTCAGGTGACCCGTTATGTTCAGTCAGGTGACACGTTCAGTCAGGTGACGCGTTCAGTCAGGTGACACGTTCAGTCAGGTGACGCGTTCAGTCAGGTGACCCGTGACGTTCCAGTCAGTTGACTTGTGACGTTCCAGTCAGTTGACTTGTGATGTTCCAGTCAGGTGACCCGTGACGTTCCAGTCAGTTGACTTGTCATGTTCCGGTCAGGTGACCCGTGACGTTCCAGTCAGTTGACTTGTGATGTTCCAGTCAGGTGACCCGTGACGTTTGGTCAGGTGACCCGTTATGTTCAGTCAGGTGACACGTTCAGTCAGGTGACACGTTCAGTCAGGTGACCTGTGATGTTCCAGTCAGGTGACCTGTGACGTTCAGTCAGGTGACCTGTGATGTTCCAGTCAGGTGACTCGTGACGTTCAGTCAGGTGACCTGTGATGTTCCAGTCAGGTGACCTGTGATGTTCCAGTCAGGTGACCTGTGATGTTCCAGTCAGGTGACTCGTGACGTTCAGTCAGGTGACCTGTGATGTTCCAGTCAGGTGACCTGTGATGTTCCAGTCAGGTGACCCGTGACGTTCAGTCAGGTGACCTGTGATGTTCCAGTCAGGTGACCCGTGACGTTCAGTCAGGTGACTTGTGACATTCAGTCAGGTGACCTGTGATGTTCCAGTCAGGTGACCTGTGACGTTCAGTCAGGTGACCTGTGATGTTTTGATGTTCCAGTCAGGTGACCCGTGATGTTCCAGTCAGGTGACCTGTGATGTTCCAGTCAGGTGACCCGTGGCGTTCCGGTCAGGTGACCCGTGGCGTTCAGTCTGCTTCAGTCTGTAGACGATGTTCTGCTGCACGACTTCCTGCTTCGTTACCTGCACCACAGGTTGTGAACTTGTTGAGGACGTCGTCCAATGTGTAATCACGTCTTTAGACATTTGTATTCGTTGGGTTCTCTGCTTGGTTAATTTGTTTTCTGTTTTTGTTTAAGCAATTTAAAACCTGACAGTGATGTCACTGTTTAAAGGAAACAACTGCTCAATAAATGAGTAAAATGTAACTTGTTATGTTGTGTTTGGGTTCATGGTGTGACCCATGTACTGTCAGTGACCTCCAAGAGCCAGAAACGGACTCAGCAGCTGATCCTCCATTTGAAACTATAGGAACCACATCCAACATTTTTCAGTCAGCTCATCTGGACAGGTTCTTTTTTGTGCTGAAACGTTTCACCTTCCATCCAGAAGGCTTCATCAGTCAAGGAAACACACAACAAAACTGATTCTTCCCCCAACAGCTTACTCCAAAGTGGAACAAACCAGTTCTGCTTGTGATAAGATGGTCTCTTATCACAAGCAGAACTGGTTTGACCCGTGTTGTTTGGATCAGGTGACCCGTGTTGTTTGGATCAGGTGACCCGTGTTGTTCTGGTCAGGTGACCCATGTTGTTTGGATCAGGTGACTCGGGTTGTTCTGGTCAGCTGACCCATGTTGTTTGGATCAGGTGACTCGTGTTGTTCTGGTCAGCTGACCCATGTTGTTTGGGTCAGCTGACCCGTGTTGTTTGGGTCAGGTGACCCGTGTTGTTTGGGTCAGCTGACCCGTGTTGTTTGGATCAGCTGACCCGTGTTGTTTGGATCAGGTGACTCGTGTTGTTCTGGTCAGCTGACCCGTGTTGTTTGGATCAGGTGACCCGTGTTGTTCTGGTCAGCTGACCCGTGTTGTTTGGATCAGGTGACCCGTGTTGTTTGGGTCAGCTGA